TAAGTTTTACCTCAACGGTTGCATGGAACAACTTAGCCTTGAATTACAGAAGCTCTGCAACACCAAGATACAAATGCAGGATCTGCAAGTCTGACTTTTCAGTTATCGTATTACAGAAGCAGAATGCATTTTCAGATAGCCTGCAAATTTGTGCATGGTGAAACGGTCCTGCAAATCCTTGCAATCACTTTGACAACTTTGACATTTAAAACTGGTAAATCAGTAGCGCCCAAACACTTTTTTCCGATAAATATGACGAAATTGCAAATTTTTTCTGTAATTTGCTCGTTTCTGCAAATAGAGCACATATGCAAGTCGGCCATATTTGCATAACTGCAAATTTGCAGATGCAAATATACTGTAATTGGGCCCTTAGCACATGGAAATTTTGACAGTGAATATCTTCAGAACTAATCATTTGATTTTCAAAAAAAATACGCAGTTTTGACGAAATTCAAAATACCTACCTTTAAAACAAGGATCCATCTTTCCTATCTAGAAAAGAGGGACGAAAGTCACCCCACCCAGGGGGTGCACCCTAGCGAAATACCAATGGAGTCAAAAAGATTCCCCCTTGAATACAAAAATGACGTGTCCGAGCGTTTTTTCAAAATCGACCTTGAAATACCCTAAGTGAAGCGCGTTTCGATGTTTGTGAAACACACTGTATATCCAAATTAGATACAGTAAAATATTCGGGTCGTGAACATAACGCAGCAGAAAAATATGAAGAATGGATGGAAGTTGGAAGGATAAATAGGGTATCAATTTGAAAACTTTCAATGCGAATATTTCTGAAAGTGAAAAAGTCAGAAAAACGTAATTTGGTACAAATGCTATACAGGTAGGGAAAACTAGAAACACCATATTTTAGTTATGAGGTGAGTGACTCCATGGGTCCTATGCACCCCAAACTCAAAATTTTGAATAGCATCACCCCTTCTGTGATGTTTAAAATGTAATATTTCTGAATAGGTATAGTATTCACTTGCACAAAAATGATTTAATTTTAGTCATCACAAAATGGCACCAATCCCCATTTAAAATATTGGATTTGAGGTGCATGAGGACCAAGGGCTCATTATATCCAAAATATGGTGATCCTAGTTCCTCCTACCTGCGTATAACATTTGTATCAAATTACGTTTTTAACTGCTGACAAAGGAAATAGAAGAATCCGAGGGACAGATTGAGGAGAGGTTAGAACAAAGGTACAAGATATACAAAATGGAAAGGCTCCGAGGCTAGAAAACATTCCTATCGAGCTAGTCAAAGGTGTGCCAGAGATCTTGACTGAAATTCTAGCAGATATATATACCTACAACGATCTGCTACTAAGAAGGATACCTGCAGACTGGAATATTTCACACATAAGAAAATCGAAAAACTTGTGGAAACTATAGAGGAATAAGTGTTACTAGTTCTTTTTGAAAGGTACGTTTTACGGCTGTATTTTAGAATTGAAATGAAATTTTCAGACATAGAAGATCAGAATACCTAGCTTCGTGCAGGAAGTGCATGCATGGGTGGCTGTAACAAACCGGTCTTTTTGCTTCGTAATACAATTAATTGTTTTTTTTTTTATCATTTAGATTAAATTTCCAAATTTCTGACGAAATGGTACCAACCAGTCGATTTCGAAAAGAGTGCGATGATTATGTCTTATAACTACGACTCTTGATCCCTGGGTCCTTTGAAAACATCGTCTGACTTGTAACTGATAAACTTAAAAGTGTCATCAAATTCGCTAAATAAAAGACGCCTCACGTTGCTCTGGATTCATTCAGTTCTGGTCAAAAATTCTGGTGCTTACAGTGTAAAGTCGTTCGTTATAGTTACAAAACAGGTGAGGTTTCACTTTCCACATATTTCCCATTGTCAATTTATTATCTTATTTACTGTAGGTATGTTTTTTCTACGTATTGTCAAATCGTCAAACTATTTTTCCTCATAAATCCTTTGTTATAACTTCCAGTCATTTTGACTGCATTTTCGCTAGTTTTCCTAGCCTTATTGAATAAACCGTTCAATTTAATCGTTCACTGTTGAAACCCTGATATCTAACAAAGCCAATTTGTACTACCCTGTCGAGGATATTCTCTAGCATTAATTATAGATTATAATTAATCGCTTTTCATAGAACATTGCTTACCTGTACACTCATCTTCTCCATTCTTATTCTACAGTCAAATGCAGTATTGTCTGACTCTTATATTATAAAGGTATTCTTTTTTTCCCATCGTTTAACTGATTTTCCATTGTCTTCAGTTGTTACCTATATTATCTATAATAAATTTCATATGAATCTTAATCGCAAGAGAATGTTTCTTTGATTTATTCTGACAACCGATTCCTATCAAAACAGTTAGATAGAATCCAACTACGTACAGCTCAAGTAGCAAGAACCTGGACTAATAAGGGCAACCGAATCAGTTACATGAAATTAACCTGTTACGATTTACCGAGAATTTCAGTGGGACTTTAGTCCTTGGTGGCACGCTACCGCAATATGAGAAAAGGCCTTTATTAGTCCTAAAACAAAGTCATATCCAGGTGGCGGCGGTAACATGGCGTTACAACAAATTATAGAAAAATCTGGTACTCATACCTAATATTTGTAGACCTAAGAGCCATTGAGAAAATTTATCGAAGAAAGAATTACCAGTAAAAAATTCACAAGAGCCATTAGTAACATTTATAAAAACCTGCATATTATATAGTGAAAGTAGGAAATCAAGTTTCAAAAAGTTCTGGTCAAGATATATACGTCAGGAGGCTTTGAAGAACTGGAGAAATAATTGCTTTGCTATGGAAAAAATCCACACTAAATTGATTTCCACAAAATTTATCTCTGTACCTGAATATGACAACAGCCGCACACTTCTTGGTACAGATTTCATCAAAGCGGCTAACCTCCTCCTCAACGTACCTCAAAACCGGTATAGTTTTGGTGAAGATCCTATAAATACTTACTTTTTCGATTCAAATGATGATAACACGTGCGTTATCAATACTGTACGTGTACAGTACGACCAACTCGAACTTTGTGACAACGAAGCACGGATGCTTAGCGAAGAACAACGATGTACACTCAAATCACTTCTGTGTGAATTTTCGTTTCTTCAAAAGATCCGACTCCGTTTGCCGAGCATAGCATCGTACTTATGGATGATATACCCATCGCAGTACCGCCGTATAGGATGTCAGAGCCCAAAAAATCGATTCTTCGTAAAGAACTCGACAAGCTACTAAAGGCGATTTTCAGCCTGGAATGATTATTTATCGGTAAATACCGTGGTTATTCTTTTGGTTGATAATTTTGACAGTCAAGTGTGACCGACTGCTGAAATGATTTGGTTATAGCAGTGTAGGGTTATGTTTATTATTCTTATTTGTTTTTTCGTTTAGGTATAAAAAATGGAGCGGAATCTCTCGTTAGTCTCGTTTATCGAACAGATTTTCTTTGGGGATGATCTAAACCTCGATCTAAACATGGTGAATTGCAGTGAGTGAGTAAATGTATACCTACTTCTTCCATTGTGCCAGGCTACAACGCAACTGCAAAATCACAAAACACCAATACAAATTCCAAAAATAATAACAATAACATCAAAAAGCTGCAACCAAAAGATTAACCCAAGTCCAAAGCTGTGTTATAATCGGTTATAAGTGGTAAATACCAAAAGCAAATCAGCTGATATGTGACGTCACAATTTCCCCTACTTTGGTTAAAACCGCGACAGCGGAAATGCATTGGTTATAATTAAATAATAATCATTCCAGGCTGAAAATCGCCTCTAGAAAGCGACTACATTGAAGAGTGCGAGTCACCGTCATCTTCGTACCCAAAAAGAACCACGAGGTACGTCCCACACGATAGACTACCGAGCCTTAAATGCCATCACCAGACCAGACAGATACCCCATCCCGAGAATCGAGTATCTTTTACACGCAGCTAAGCAAAGGGGTTACATTAGATCTCAGGAGCGGATATCATCTAATCAGCATGAAACCTTCTCAGATAGGGACAAAACTGCATTTGTTTGCCTTTTCGGTACCTACCGTTATAAGCGCATGCCATTTGGACTTCGCAACGCGCCCAGTACTTTTCAGCGCCTCATTGATAGGTTTAGGTCAGGAATACAAGAGGTCTCTATGTTGGCATACCTTGATGACTTGATCATCATATCATCGTCTTTCGAAGATAATTTGATTGACCTAAGGAAAGTATTCCTGCGACTTGCGCAGTACAAGTTGACACTTGATCCACCTAAATGTTCATTCGCTTGTGAAGTCGTCCATTATCAACTGGTCCCCTGTATGATGTCAATTTGATACGCAGCCTATCGGAACTAATCTTAAGTTATCGGAAATTTACTCAAGCAAGTGTTCCTTATGTTCTTTTTAGGAAGTTCTAATGGACAATCAGGAAACATCATGAGGTTCCTCGTGAAAATAAACCCATAAATTAGGCACCGGAAGACATTGAAAGCAAAGCTTAAGTAATTAAATTGTGGGGACCAGGTGACAAAAACATTATTTATGAACGACACGAGCCTATTCGACTCTTTTGATAGATGCGGCCTCATACTCTTTTCTGTCCAATATAAATGATGAATTATGGATTCTGGTGGATCTTTAGTTAATAAACACTGCTTAGAAATAGCTGGAGAGGAATGCTCAAAATTATGTATCGAAGTTTTAGGGGTGTTGAGAAGAAATTTTGTAAATTAATGTTGGTATTAGAAAGGTATGAATGAAAGCGGATCGCGCGCAAAGTAATCATCAGATTATTTTGTTACATTTACAAAGTAATCGTTTAAATTCTCAGGGGAGGTACAAGTCATACTGAATGAGAAAGCCTTATTATTACTCAAATCGTAGGTGTGACAATGTGATGCCACTCTATGATCAAATATTAATTTGCTGGAATTCAATAGTGAAATGTTACATTTTGTTGTTGCTATCAAAGTGAAAACACATAAAACATAGTCACTCACCTGTAAATGTTCCATTAAACTTTCCAAACCCTGATCGCCTATACTGGAGCATTGCAATTTAAGCGTATGAATATGCTTAGAAGCTAAAGGAAACGTATTAATCATATCCAAAGCGTCCTCGTTCGTAGCCCCCATAAGACACAAACTGTGAAACCCTCTCCTGAGCAACGACGAATACAATCGGGCCCGTTCCGTCACTTGGAACCCTCTCAGTTCGCGACACTGTAACACCGGAACCAAACCTGTCCAATACCGAGGCGACCTGTACAAAACGTCCCTCCACCTGAGGCAGACCTGAGCCAAAACGCACCGTTCGCAAGGGCTGAAGTACAAAAAGAACTTGGCCAAAAACTTTTCATCAACCATCAGCTGTTCCCAGGTGTGATAAACGGGCTGCAACGGTTTGCAGGATCTTCTGATAAGCGTGGGAGCTGGTTTCCTGGAAGCGGGCAACAACCTGGAAGGTTTTTCGGGAGCTTGGACCGCGCTGCTGTTGCCGCAAAATACGTTCGTCACTCGTTCCATTACGCTGCCTTTAGACGAGTGATGTTTGCCCCTGCTCAGTCCCAAACCGTTTATACGTTTCGATAGTTCTGCCGAGGCCCTTTCGACGACCCCTTGGGCCGATATCGACGACATTTTTGCGTTAAACTAAAGTTTCATTGTTCGCGTGCACGGTAAGATCGTCGAACGGGCACTGTTTTCGCTGCCAGAAAGGGGGACGTTTCAACCCTCCTGTTTTGTGCATCGTGGACGCGATCAATACGAGTTCAGGCATGGCATGTTTGGGCTTTGGGGGAGAGGTGGTCTCTTTTTTTTCGTTGACTTGAAATCACTCGTTTTCGCTATACCCCAATGATTATACAAGGATTATAGTTATTGATTTTTTCAAAAATTATCAATCACCTACTATGTATGGTATATTGATATTATTGTGTGTTAATGATGCGGAAACTATATAAATCTTAGGGGCGCCTTTTTGTCTAGGAACTAACTGGATTGAGTCCAGATAAGTTTATTTTCTTGGTATCGGGCCAGAGGGCATTCATTTCTATTTAAATTAGTTTTGTTTCCCAGTACAATTATCGTAAACATAGACGGAAAAATTAAGAGAAAATTTAATAAAAACTTAAAAAATGGAAAGAAGAAAGTTAGTTTTGTTTTCAGACAATACAAAGACTCTAAATATCTAACGACCTTTATTAAGACATTTTATGGATATCTGTTTACTTCTACTTTGTTCTAAAACTCGACATCTTTAAGACATATTCGTGAAAACGTCTCCAAAACACATTTTAAAGACATCTTTATTGAAACATTTTACTAGATGTCTTGAAGACGTCTTCAAGAAGATGTTTCAAGGACCACTAAATTCCCAACCCTAACATCACATCTTCTGTCTATTTTGTGTCATCAGAGCTTTTAGTCTTGGGTCTCGGTTTCAAATAGAGCAGATTTCTCATTGTAAAATCTTGAAAAATGAGCCTACAGAACTAGTGTCGCATTATACAGTCATGAGCTCCAAAAACTTCAATCGCAGTGGCGCACCCAAGGGGGGGGGGGGGGGTTTTGGGGGTTTAAACCCCCCCCGAAATTTAGCACTGGTACAGAGAATTTTCCGGTAAAAATATTTTTTTTGCGATTTCGGTTAAGAGGGGCGTTTAAATAAAATGTCATTTACAGACCTTCACACATTTCTGTTCAATTCCAAATTTAGACAACTTTTCAGTGAAATGAAGTTATGTTCATAACAATAATAGATTGGAGTATCGTTCGAAGCATTTTTGGTTGCAAAATACGCATTCTAAATATTTAGTAAAATTATTACCATTGAATATTGTTGACAACAATATGCAAATTTTGGTCATGGATTTGAATGAAAAAGGGACGAATACCTAGAGTAGCACACCAACAATATTTTGGATAGTAAAATGCTGGAAAAAAAGAATAGGACAGAATTTTCGAAAATTATAATGTTTTCATCACAAAATTAATCAAAATCTGCCAAACAACGAGGTGATTGCTGTCATTTTCAGCAGAGACTCAAACCAAACGTGTGCTCAGCGCTTCTCTAAAAGATGTCGCTGAGTTCGGGAAGGGTAGTCACTTCTTTCAAACGCCAGTAAAAACTGTTTTACCTAGCTAAAAATGTGAAATACTATTATTTCATCTACATCTGAATAGAATTATTTAGTCCACTGTAAATTACTGTGTAAACGAATTGATATTGAAGATGTCGCCACCTACTTGTAAATAAGTCAATCACTTACAGAGAATTTGAACACCTGGGATTAAAAAATATTTAATGTATGCCATAAAGCCCAACAGATGGCGTTCGGGCTCTTATCTTAGCCCCTCCTAATAGGTACACTTGGCCAAACATAAAACTGGTACAGACAATAGCTATTTTTTAAATTTGCCTAGTGTGAGTCTAGCTTAACAATAAAATGTTTCTTCGAAAAAACTCAGGTTAGACAGTTTTTGACATTCGACATTGTCGAATGCATTTGCGGTGGCATTTTGTTCGATTTAAAGATGACACTGACTTGATTCTTTTTGTCATTTTTGAGGTGATAATAAAGGTCGATTTACACAATACCTACAACACATAGGAAAATGCATGTATAGTAGGTATTTGTAATACCCATTTAGAATAACCCCATCCTTATTCATCAATCATGAATCAGATGAAACAAAAAATTACCACCTAATTTTATTTGTGTATCAAGAAGCGACGTACGTTTTGTCACTAAAACGACAGGTACTTCTAAATAGGTATTAAAAATACTATACCAGTTTTATGATTGGCCAAGTGTACACTTGGCCAAACATAAAACTGGTACAGGCAATATATATTTTTCAAATTTGCCTAGTGTGAGTCAGGCTTAACAACAAAAAGTTTCTTCTGAAAAACTAAGGTCAGACAGATTTTGTCAATGTCAAAGCTGAACAAAAGTAAATGCAACATGAGCCGATTAAACGAGATGGAATATTAATAACCGAGTCTAAAATGGAATAACCATTCACGTTAACGCGGTTTTCGTTATTTTTTATCATTCCGTAGTGACGTCAATTGGCCCTTTGTGACGTATTAAATCAGCTGTTTTTATCTTTGGTTCAACCATTTTTAACCTACCTTTGGAGCTAGATTATTATGTTCTGTCCTTGTCTGAAAAAGTAAATAAAGGAGAAATACCCGAAATGGCGGATATTGACGGGTTTTTCGTCGTTTTGTTGTTTTGTGTATTGTTTTTTTTTTGTGCAACCCTAAAAAATGAACTTTGAACTAAACGAAAAATCAATCTTTGAGGTATTGATCAGGTCGACACAAAACTAAACACTAAACGCCAAATAATAGAAATAATAATTATGTACTGTACTTCAGGTGAAAATTCAATGAAAAACAATCACAAGACAGAACAGAACGTAATAAACAAAAAAAATTGGGTTAACGCATGGTTAACAGAATAACCAAAGCATAAATGCGAGCTCTCCCAGGTTAATGAAAAAGGGTCGAAAATCGCTGTTTCAAGGATAACCGCGGTTATCAATATTCCATCGCGTTTAATCGGCTGTTTTTTATGTTATGTTTGGTTCAAAGATGACACTGACTTGACTATTTTTGTCATTTTTGAGGTGATAAAAAAGCTCGATTTACACAATACAACACAATAGGAAAATGCGTACCAGTTTCAAGCCTAGTACATATAACCGCGAAATTCGCTCTTTTTTGACATTGCTTCGACGCGTAAAACGATTGCAAATTTGCGAATGATCAGCAATGTTTGTGAAGAAATTTATTTGATTGGTGGAGACGGAATTTAGAATGTTTGCAGCCATGTGGAAAACTCTCTTTCTTTTAAATACACACTCGAATACACATGATTATGAAAACAAATCACTTACGAAAAGTTATTTTTTGAAGGCTTAAAATAAACGTTTTTGGGCGTGGCACCCGAAAAAAAAATTCTTTCTATGGCAGCCGGCCTACAACAGCGTCTGCCTACGACGAGCCTTCATCATTATGAAAACCCCCCCCCCAAATAAAAATTCTGGGTGCGCCAATCCCATAGTTCTTAGTCCTAACAAAGCCCTTAGGATTTTCAAAAACTTCAAATGTTAATATCTTATTTAAGTCCTAATTGGTCTCTGTTTCTTGACCGGCCCACTGTCTTACATTCCAAATATTAATTGTCCAGTGAGCTTTGATGGGTTTAATGCAATTATTCTTCTGTATAAGGGAGGCCCTCAAACTACCGACCAATAATCTCACTAATGTTTACTATATCAAAGCTTATTGGGAAACCAGAGTAAACGTACGAATAGTGTGTTTCCTAGACAAGCATAACATTCTACCTGAAAATCAATTAGGTTTTTAGTCTATGTAAATAGTAAAAATATACATCTGACACTATGTCTGGTTTAGGGTATTTCGGGACTTGAACCAGGGAGAGATTTCCGCTGCAGTGTTTTGTGATTTGTCAAAGACCTTTGACTGCGTTAGCTAGGTGATGGGGTACTGATGCGGAAGTTGTACGGCTACAGTTTCCGGGGCATCTCATTGCAGTGGTTTGGGAGTTATGCTGTGCATCTCAACAAATGCGTCATCCAACAGATTAGCAGAATGAATATGTCTCATGTGGTGTTCTTTAGGGATCTGTGCTTGGTCCAATTCTATTCATGATATACATTAATGATCTTACATATAACTTGAAATTGCAGGCTTTTTTACTTTGTTTGTAGATGACACTACCGGACTATAGCAAAATAGGCATGCAGCGATGGGAATGCTGGAGGTGGAACAAGGGAAATCGTTTCCCTTCTCTATTTAACCTTATACTTTTTCTAGACATTTCATTCTATTGAATTTAAATAATTGGCATGTAAAATGTTCACTTGTCAGACCGGTATGTATTTTTCAAATTAACTAAACACAAAAATAATTTCTCAAAACGAATTAAATTATCAACACTACTTAAAAATGAATCCGTCTGGCTTTAGTGGCTTTACGTCTTGCAAAGTCAGAGATGAGTTCGTTGATAGGTTTTTGGCGATTTGCACCAATCAAAAACGCTCTGTGGCCGATCCTCGGGCCAGGGAGTAGAGCTCCCCGAGAGAACAAATTTTTTGTCTTTATCATTCTCTTTTACTTTTCGATAACGTTGACAAGGACAAAACATTCATTCTATCGGGGAGCTCTACTCCCTGGCTCGAGGATCCGGCCACTGGTTGGTTTGTGATTTATGTGAGAACATATCTATAATCTACACCATCGAACATGTTGTAACCATCGAGTATGTTCAATGGTTGAAGGTTATAACATTTTTTTTTTCAATTCTTAGTGCGATCTGTTTTGAGACAAGATGATCGAAAGTGCCTTGATGAGCAGTGACAGATGACACTGATAACACGTAAATTAACTATTACCAGACAATGTTGTTGGATCTTTTATTATCTTCATATTATCCTTGTGGCATAAAACATTTTTTTTTTTCAACTTGTTCACTCGAAATAAATTTGGCGCCTCTAATCGTGGCGCCCTAGGCGGTTGCCTCGGTTGTCTGTGCTTAAATCCGGCACTGATTCTGGAACATATATAAGAACGGTTCTAGAACAGTAATTTTCCGTCGATCAATTATTCATTTATCAAGTATTAGGATAAACGATAAACTTATTGCCAAGTAGGTAAACAACTGGAAATTACTGGTTCTGGAACGATTT